ACACGTTGTTGCAGTAAACCTTTTCCGTCTGCAACTGTCCACATTGCAGACCGTGCTCTCAGCAGAGTCACAGACTGGATTTCAGGAAACGGAACCCTTGCCCCAAGCTTCGGGGCATCTGTTCCACATGTCATCTTTCCTGTGATGTTTGTCTCCTGCCTGAGTGCCCTCTCCTGGGCCCCTACCCCTATCTAGGGCCTGGCTCACCCCTCCTTGGGTAACAGGGTGAATGAGGCCCGTTTCACATATGTGCTGTGACGGGCCTTCACACAGCGACAGGTCTTGGGCCCCTGTGGGTAGAAGAGTGGCAGGTATTGTCATGTGGGCCAGAGTCCCATGGTGGGACCCACCTCTTTCTCACGTCTAGGCCCACCCTCCAGGCCCAACTCCTAGCACCATCCCTGCTTCTCCCCTGCCACGAACCACCCCCCCCCTTGGGCCCCACAACCAGCAGGAGGCTGACTCTGTCCTGGCCCTTGCTCGGGCCCAGTATGTTGCAGAAGCTGAGGAGAAGCTGCAGCGGGCCCGGATGCTGGTGGAGAGCGTGCGGAAAGAGAAAGTAGACCTATCCAACCAGCTGGAGGAGGAGAGGAGGTACGATCGGCCCTCCCCAGCCCTGGGCCTCGTTATGGAGGACAAAGAAGAACACAGGCTTGGGAATGTGGACCTGGCTTCTAGTCCTACCTCCACCCTCGCTGTGTTGCCTTGGACTAGAGACACCAGCTCTTGGGCTTCAGCCTTATTATCTGTAAAGTGGGGTGATGTCCCACTCTGAGGGTGGTTGGGAGGACTCTCAGGGTGACTGGAGTGAAGCACCAGCACTGTGCCAGGCACACGGGGTGCCACAGTTGCTGGCTGTGAGGAGTTCGCCCTTTCTGCCTCAGCCAGCGGTGTGTCGTGAGAATGCCAGGTGGGCCCTGTCACACCAGGGGCCCCTTGGGAGCCCTGCACCAGGAAGAAGGCCCGATGTCCCCACCCCACTGTGAGCCAGTTCTCATCCACAGAACACCCCTGGGCTGACCCCACGCATGGTGCTTACCGCCCCTGTCTGGGAGGTCTGCTTCTCTTTCCCGTGTCAGGAAACCAAGGCTCAGAGAAGTAGCAGCACGAGCGCCTTTGAAATGCCCTGCAGCCTGCTTCAGCCCCTGCCAGGTGCTTGACCCACCCAGGAGTCAGGCCCTACCCCCGCTTCACAGATGAGGAAGCTGACGCCCAGCACAGAGAAGGGGCTGGGATGAGACCCCAGGTCTCTGGATGTCCTCAGGGGCCTGTAGGGCACGTGGTTCCACGTGTGTGTTTGCGGCTACTCTAGGGATACAGGGAGAAGCCTCTGCCCACCCACATCAGCGTCTGGCCATGGTCAGGAACAGAAAGGCTTCAGTGAGACCCAAGAAACCCACTGAAGGATGCACGCCCAGCCCATCTCTCCCTACACCCCCCAGGCTAAGACACTGGATGGGGAGTTAAGCCTGGCCCAGTCCTGGGGTCACCTGGCATGACAGAACTGATGGATAGAAGCTGGGCTTGCCAGGATCATACACAGATTTCGGCACCCCCACGTGGTCCTGCTTCTTGGGCTCGCAGCCGAGGCATGTGCTCCACAGGCTGTTACTGCCTGACTGGGGAGATGAGAGTTTATTTATATCTGCCTGAGATGGTCTCAGGCCCACACATCTGGTTCCCATGGTGACGCGCCTGATGCGACAAACAAAAACAGGTTTTGAAGGCAACGTGGGAGTTGTGTTTAGGAGGGGCCTGGGTGGGAGTCCCAGCATTGCCCTGTACCTGCGGTGTGGCCGAGGGGAGGTCACTTCTCTCTGGGCCTCCGTTTCCTTATCACTATGCTGGGCGCTCTCCGAAGGCCCCGGTAAGAGCAGCTTCGAGCTCTCTGCGTGGCCGTGTGTGAGGTGGGCCTTTGTCCATCCCCCCGTGCTGTCTTGGAACGTGTGTGGGTGTGTGTGTCTCCGACAGTGGCCTCCAACACCTGTAGCAGAGCACAGCTGGGGGCAGCCCAGGGGGTTGGGATTGGGGTGTTGACCCCCAAATCTGAGGCCTGCGCATGACAGCAAAGTCAGCTGGGGAGGGGAGGAAGCCCTTTCTTTCCGCCTCTGCCTCCCACCTCCTCGCAGGTGTTCTTTATGGCCATGTCTGCCCCCTGTAGTGATGAGAAAAGTGGTCACTGCGTAGCCACAGACAGCCCATTCCATCCTTTATGCCCACACCCACCTCAGGAGGATGGACCCTGCATTGAAGCCTCCCGCCTCGGAGGTGTAGGTAGCCCTGCTCAGAGCCAGTCTGGAAGCTGTGAGGTCTAGGAGGCTCTGCCTGCTCAGCCACAGGACTTGGGGAGGGGCTCTTTGAGGCAGCCCCCTCTGTTGGCCTGAGCTAGGCCTATGGGCCATCGGGCACCCGCCCCTCCATCTGCGTCGCTGACGCAGTGTGCCCGTGGCCCTGGGCCAGACCGTCAGCCTCTCTTTCCCCCGCAGGAAGGTGGAGGACCTGCAGTTCCGAGTGGAGGAGGAGTCCATCACCAAGGGAGACCTAGAGGTAACAGTCAGCCATCAGCAGCCCTTCCCGGGCTCACACAGCACCAGGCCCAGCCCTCACCACGGAGACTGGCCGTGAGGTCCAGGCGGCCACTGAAAGGGGCTGTGGGATTGCAAGGGGGCAGTGGGGAAGGGTCAAAGCTCACACATGGGAGAGTGGCAGAAGGAAGGCCATGAGAGTCTAACGTCAGAGGTGGGAATGGCTTAGCTTGGGAGCGAGGGGCAATCCTGGGTTGGGTGGCATAGACGGACCAGGGGCAGTGAGGGTGCAGGGCTGGGCCCAGAGATGTAGTGGCCAGACTCCTGTGAACCTTATTTTATTATACTTTACGTTTATTTATGTCTTCCACAAGAGGGACAGAGGGACAGAAACAAGTACCCCGACAGGGCCTTCACAACCACAGCCCACTCTCAATCTCAGTTAGCCAGGTTATGGGCATGTATGTGCAACAGGCACGCTCAGGGAATCCTTGGGACTCGAACTGAGGACCTTTCTCTTGTGGATCCAGTCATATTACTGCTGGCCACCTCCTGGCCTCCACATTCCTTCCTGTTGGGCAGTAGCCTTAACGGTGCCCCTTGAGCCCTTAATTCATCTTGGATTGCAGGTAAAATTTTGACCAGAAGTAGCTTGCTGAGTCACAGAATTTATGGATGGGGACGCTGAGGCTCAGAGAGGCAAAGGGACCCACCCAGTTCCTATACTAAGTCAGCAGCTGCGGGACCTTGACTAGGACTCCTGAGTCCCGGCCCAGCTACAAGGTGGCGAGTGCTGCATGTCCCTTTTCAGTGGGACACCTGGACACACTAGCCTGGCACAGGGTGGGCTGTTTGCCATCCAATCCGAACCTTCCTTTCTGAGCTGAGGGGGTGGAGAGGCTCAGATTAACTAGTAAAGCATGTGAGGACCCTCACCCCCACTCTGGGACACTCTCCACACCAAAGCATGTACACTGCAGGGCTCCTGAAGCCACCGGGTAGGGAAGGGTGCCTTCCTGCTGTGGCCACCACTGCCTGAGAGGTTAGGATGGGCCTGGGGACACTGAGTTCAGCCTCTTACTCACCATGGTTTTTGCCCTGACTGGCCTCAGGCAGCCTCTTCCCTTCCCCAGGCCTCAGTTTCATCATGTGTGAAATGAAGAGTTGAACAGATCACGGTTCTCAAACTGGAGGGTCTGTCCAAACACAGGATGCCAGCCCCACCCTCGGAGAGGCTGGTCCGCAGGTCCGGGTGGAACTAGTTGCTGGCATTTCTAACACGTTCCCAAGTGATGTCGGTTTAGGGACCACACTTTGGGAATCTCCTCACTGTGTCACTTCTTTTTTCTTTTCTTTTTTTTTTTGGAGAGGTTTTTGCTATAGGGCACGTGCGCTCACCTGACAGAGAGAGAGAGAGAGAGACAGAGAGATAGAAAGCGAGAAATCACTCCCCGGGGGGATGGCCACGCTGCAATCCCTTCTCCTCCATTCTCTTCTTGGGATCTTGGGCACGCAAGCACACGTGCCCAGCATGAGTTTACGCCACTGGGTCCGGGATGCAAACCGTGGTCGACTACGTGGGAGTCCAGCGACATAGCCATTATACTAACTGCTGGTCCCCCTACTGTGTCACTTCTGACCTCAAGTCAGAAATCACCCCCACACACCCCAGCTCCGTGAGGTGCCCGTTGCAACTGCTCAGCCTCTGTGGCTGACACCTCCTCTTTCCTGTTGCATGCTGGGCTGTCCAAGAGCTCTTTCTCGAGCTCCTGCTCCCGTGGTCCACACTCACCCTGAGAGCTTCCAGTCTGTGGCTTCACATGCCCTTGGCTGTGCCCGCGTGATTCCCGTCTTCCCCCGAATGCCCACGTACATCTCCCCCAGATGAGTAAGGAATGGGCATCTGTCTCCTGGGGCTACAGGGCCAAATTTCCACAGATAGGTGACTTAAAATAACACAAATGTAGTCTCTGTCAACGCTGGAGGCCAGAGTCTGAAATCATGGTGTCTACAATTGGCTTCCTTCGGAGGCGCTGAGGGCGACTGTGTTCTGGGCTTCTCCCTGGCTCCTGTGTTCCTTGGCTTGCGCCTGCAGCACTCCAGTCTCTCTCTCTCATCACCTGGCTGCCTTCCCTGTGTGTCCCTTCACATGACCTCCTTACAAAGACACCAGTCACAGGATTTAGGGCCCATCTTTATCCAGTGTGACCCCATCTTAACTATTAGGTTATTGGTAATGTTCTGATGTATTTTTTCTATGCAAAAATGCATCATGACTTGCCCAACAACCCACTAATTTTATTTGCAAAGTCCTCTTCCAGAGAAGGTCACATTCTGAGATTCTAGGTAGGCATGAAATTTAGGGGGACACTCCAACCCAATACAGAATCCCAAATATATCACACCTGTGTTGGTCTATATGTTGCTACACAAAATTATCTGAGACTGGGTCATTTACAAAGAACAGAGGTTTATTTGATTCATGATTCTGGTGCCTGAAAAGTCTGAGAACGTGGGGCTGACCAGCCTGTGGTGCCACATCACAACATGGTTGAGAGGCCGGGAGGAAGGTGGGTACTTGCAGGTAGGGGAGACCCCACTCCACTTTTCCCATTTGTCCCATCCACACTCACAGCCAACTGGATGGTGCCCTACCATTAGACCCTGCATCTTGAAGGTCTTACCACCTCTCAAGCCACCTCTGAGGACCAAGCTTCTGGAACATGAGCCTTTGGGACACAAACTATTACCCAAACCACAGCCATGTCTAAGTCAGGTGTCTTAATTCCTTGCCCTCCACCCCCAGCCTTCCCCAAACACCGTCCCCTTATTCACATCTCAGCACCTGGACCTCCAGCCCTACAGCCACAATGCATCTAGTTGTTATTATTATTATTATTATTATTATTATCATCATCATCATTTGCTAAAGAGTGTATACACTCACCAGAGGCAGAGGGAAAGGAGAAAGCACCACCCCCATGGAGAATGGTCACACCACAATCCTTTCTCTTCCATCTCTCCTTCCTTCCAAGATTTTGGGCATGCACACACATGCTCGGCTTGTTTTTCAAGGTTGGGTCCTAGGCTTGAACCATGGAGTTGACCAGCTGGAATCTGGCTACCTTGACTACTAGGCCACAGAGCCAGCCTCTAGAATTCATCTCGAATCTTCCTTTCTCTCATCCTGCCATCAGAAATCCTCTTGATCTTGCCTAGAAAATTACCTCCGCCACCGCTGCCTCCCTGGGCCGGGCCCGGTACCTCCTGTGGACAGCTGATCCAGCCCTTCCCCAGCCCTCTCCTTCCTCTCTTGCTCCTCCACTGTCCCGACTCCACACCACAGCCAGAACAGTCTTCTCTAAAATAACCTTTTTAATTGTTCATGCTGGAAAATTTTAAGCCGATATAGAAGTCGAGAGGATGGTGTGATGAACTCCCCTTGACGCATCACCCGGCATCGTCATCAATCTGGGGTCAGCCACCCCACCATCCTGAGCCCCTCCCAGCCCCGCGACGTCATACATCCACATCACAGGCTCCTGTCCTGGGAGTGGGGAGACATCCTTCAGCTAGACTCGGCTTCCAGAGTTAGTGCATGAGACGTAGTTACGTCTGCATCCACCGTGCACGGCCTGCAAGCACCCACCCTGCCGGTGGTTGTATGAATGTTCACGCTACAAGACCTGCCCCTGGCCGTACCCTGGGGCAGGATGAAAGCCAAATTATCCACGCACTTCCTCTAAAATCTAGCCCGTAGAGCCTGTTGTTCCCCCAAGCTCTTGGGGGTGAACTGATAAGAGTTCCGCAGGCACCTGAAGCAATTTCACTGACTTCCCTTGGGCCCCCCAGAGACTCTAGCCCTCAGACCAGGAGCCCAGAAGTTCTGAGAGTGATGGGGACGCGTCCTTGGAGAGATACCAAATGAAGCTGCCCTTGAAATTGTGAGACTGGGGGCTTTTTCTTACCCCCAGTAGGGTATTAGGGTCACGCTCCTTCTAGTGAGAGTTTGAGCAGAGCTGCTGTGCACAGGGAGGAGGGTAGTGTGCGGCCTCCGTGAGGCCGGATGGAGCCGCCATCGTCAGCAGCCTGTAATTTTCTGGAGCAGCCTGAGCATAGCTGCTTGTTAGCACTGGAGCAGGCTGCCAGGGAGTGGGGCACAGAGGTGGGGCTGGGAGAGGGAAAGCACCCTCAGTGGGTCATGGTCACACCCCGTCCTTCCTCCATTTCTCCATCCCATCGGGATTTGGGGCATGCACTTACACATGCCCAGTGTGTTTGTCAAACCACTGGGGCGAGGATTCAAACCACAGTCGGATCCAGTTCCCTGTGCCAGGACTTAACCACTGTGCTGTAGAGCTGGCCCAGCTTCTAGGGTTTTATTTTGTTTTTACACATGCAGATGGTCTTCAACTTAAGAGTGGTTTGACTTAGAATATTTTTATTTTACCATGGTGTGGACTGCCATTTGTTTATCTAGTTTTAAAGCTCTTTTATTTCCTCTGTAAGAAGGAGACAGAGATTGCATGCATTGGTCCACCCCAGTCGCAGCCAGCTAGAATCACAAGCATGTACTTGGTGTGCTCAGGGAGGGCCTGGGACACGAACCCAGCACCTTTCCCATGTGAGTCCCGTTGTATCAACTCTGGACCACAACCTAGCCTCTTGTTTTTATTTTCGTCTTCCCACTGACTGTGACTTTGACTTAAAATAAGGACTTCATTGTGTTTTCCACTTTCAGTACAGTATTTAATAAATTACATAAGTGCACAAGATGTTATGATTATAAACTAGGCTTTGTTTTAAATGTTATTGCCCAGGTGCAGGCTCATGTAAGTATTCTGAGCACAGTTAAGGTAGGCCTGCCTAAGCTATGACAGTTAGTACGTTAGGTGTACTAAATGCGTTATAGACGTTCTTTTTTATTGCCAGAGGGGACATGCACTCACTAGAGAGAGACTAGGGTTTTATTTTGTTTTTACACATGCAGATGGTCTTCAACTTAAGAGTGGTTTGACTTAGAATATTTTTATTTTACCATGGTGTGGACTGCCATTTGTTTATCTAGTTTTAAAGCTCTTTTATTTCCTCTGTAAGAAGGAGACAGAGATTGCATGCATTGGTCCACCCCAGTCGCAGCCAGCTAGAATCACAAGCATGTACTTGGTGTGCTCAGGGAGGGCCTGGGACACGAACCCAGCACCTTTCCCATGTGAGTCCCGTTGTATCAACTCTGGACCACAACCTAGCCTCTTGTTTTTATTTTCGTCTTCCCACTGACTGTGACTTTGACTTAAAATAAGGACTTCATTGTGTTTTCCACTTTCAGTACAGTATTTAATAAATTACATAAGTGCACAAGATGTTATGATTATAAACTAGGCTTTGTTTTAAATGCTATTACCCAGGTGCAGGCTCATGTAAGTATTCTGAGCACAGTTAAGGTAGGCCTGCCTAAGCTATGACAGTTAGTACGTTAGGTGTACTAAATGCGTTATAGACGTTCTTTTTTATTGCCAGAGGGGACATGCACTCACTAGAGAGAGAGGAAAGGGAGAAAGCACCCCCCACCACAGGGCATGGTCATGCTGTAATCCTTTCTCCTTTATTACTCTATCATGTTGGGATTTGGGGCACACATAGGCTTCTGGCATGATTTTCAAGCCCCTGGAGCAGGGACTCCAACTATGGTTGACTGTGTGGAATCCAGCTTCCATAACCACCAGGCCTTGGAGCCAGCCCAATTAGATGCATTTTTGGCTTAGGATATATATATATATTTTTAAATCATTATTTTATTTAACTTTATTTATTATTATTATTGTTTTCCAATTTTGATCAGAGAGAGACAGAGAGAGAGGTAAAGTGAGAAAGCAAGCTACTAGGTCCGGGACTTGAACCATGGTTGGCCATGTGGGAGTCAGCACCTTCAGTAACTGTGCCACCTTCCAGTCCCTGCTTAGGATATTTTCAGTTTAGATTACATGCTCTTCATGCAACCCAGAGCCGTCAGAACTGCAGGACAGATTTGCTTTAACATTGCCTCTTCTGGAGGATGAGAAAGGCCCTCTCACTGCTCCCCAGACTGGTCCAGGTGCTCTGGAGCGGGTGCCCTCAGCCTCCCTGTGTCCCTCCGGAGCTCTGTTAGGGGGAATCCAGATGCCAAGCTTGACGCCCTGGGAATGTTGGCCTTTGTCAGCGTATGAAGTGGGTGTTGTGGAACCAGAACAGAAGTCCTCTGTTCTTTCTGGAGACCAGGAGCCTTCCACTGGGCCCCGGGGGGTGGGCACTGATGAGGCCGAGCATGGAGCAGGGTGGTGGGAGGCACGGCGGGAGGCATGGCAGGGTGGGTATGTTTTTGAACTTTGGTGCTGTTTTTCTTACACCTTCAGCACAGGCCAGGGGGTAGGGAGCAGGAGGCCTGGGGTCCTTTATTCACTCATCATCCCGAGGGCTTCCCAGTGCAAGATCCTGCACCTAAAATGAGAGGCAGCCCCCAAGCTTCTCAAGGGGGGAGGAGGTATAGGCTGGGGCCCCTCCCAGGAGCACAGAGCAGGATCCAGGGGTGACAGGAGGGAACTGGAGTACCCATGACCTCCCCCAGCAGGGACCAGCAACGGAGGGTTACAGCAGCCTCACCTGCCTTCAACAAACACAGACTAG